GAGGCCGTTTTTGCCAGAATGCGTTCTGCTAATTTGTAATTCAAGCCTAAGAAATGTCATCTACTGCAACGTTCCGTTCGATACTTGGGACATATTGTTAGTGCGGACGGGGTGGCCACGGATCCAGAGAAAACTGCGTGTGTCCGGGATTGGGCAACCCCCGCCACGGTGGGTGATGTGCGTCGGTTTTTGGGGTTCGCCTCATATTACCGGAGGTTTGTTCCGAATTTCGCTACTATCGCCAGGCCTTTGCATCTCCTTACTGGGAAGGGGCACAAATTTGTGTGGGGACCGCCGGAGGAGGCGGCGTTTCGGAGCCTGCGCGATCTACTGGCTACTGCGCCGACGTTGGATTATCCGGACTTTGAACATCCCTTCATTCTGGATACTGATGCGAGTGACACCGGGATTGGGGCGGTGTTGTCCCAGTCAAAAGGTGGTGTTGAGCGTGTGGTGGCGTACGGGAGTCGGGTTTTGTCTCCCGCGGAAACTCGTTACTGCGTCACTCGCAGGGAACTTTTGGCTATTGTGTATTTTCTCCGCCAATTTCGACCGTATCTGTACGGTCGGTCGTTTATTGTCCGAACGGACCATGCGGCCTTGCAGTACGCTCTTAAGATGGACCAGCCATCCGGACAATTGGCGAGATGGCTGGACACGTTGCAAGAATTCTCCTTCCAAATTCACCATCGGAAGGGTGTGCGTCACGCTAACGCGGACGCACTGTCCAGGTTGCCGCAACAATCCCCTTGTGCGTGTGCGTCGGGGACGCATAGGTGTGGACCGGCTCAGCCCCCCCCTCAGCCTGTCGCGCGGGCAGTGGATGTTCTCGAACCTCCGCTTACACCGGGACCGGTTGAAGGGGGACCGGCTGACGGGATTTTGCGTCTTCCAAGGTCTGTGTGGATTCGGGAGCAAATGTTGGACGATTCTTTGGTGTCGTTACGGAAACGAACGGAGAGGGCGGGTAAGGAAGTCGGTGCGGGTGGTAATTCGGAAACTGCTCTCCGAGATGGGTTACTGATGTGGAGGGAAGGGATACAGGAACACTGGCGTCTCGTTGTGCCCGCGTCATTGCGCTATGAGCTGATTAGATCTTTGCACTGTGACACACTTTTACACCTGGGGGTGCAGAAAACCCTATTGACGCTGCAACGAGACTATTATTGGCACGGCATGACGACGGATGTCGTCGGTCACGTTCGCGCGTGTCCCGATTGTGCCCGCCGTAAGCCGCCTAAACATCCATATGTTCCGCCGATACAATCGATTAAAGTATCTCGGGTTAATGAGCTGGTGGCGTTAGATATTTTGGGACCCTTTCCGCCATCAGCTAAAGGGAATAAGTATTTACTGGTGGGGGTGGAGTACCTCTCTCGCTGGCCGATGGCCTGGCCCTTGCCTGACCAGTCAGCGGCGTCTATCACTGACGCCTTTCTATTTGGGTATGTAATGGACAAAGGGGCTCCGGAGAGGCTCCTTACGGATCAGGGACGTAACTTTTCGTCTAAATTGTTGGGGGAGGTGTGTGCGGCTCTTGGAACTAAAAAGATACGGACGTCCCCCTACCACCCGCAAACGGATGGTATGGTGGAACGGTTGAATCGGACTCTGTCCGCCATGCTGTGCCATACAGTCGGGGAAAACCAATCTGATTGGGATTTGCATATCCCTGGGGTGCTTTCGGCGTATCGCATGACGCCGCACGCGGCTACTGGATACTCGCCGTTTTTCCTTATGTACGGCCGTGAGAACGTGCCGCCGATTCATGACCAGTTGGGAACCGGTGCGAGGGGGCCTGTTAAGCCTCTTCCTGAGTATATTAAGGACAACGTTCGGCGTGTCGCTGAGGCGAGGGAAAATGCCCGCATGGCTACTGCCAAGGCTCAGGCCAGGAATGAGCGGTGTGCCCGACGTTCAAAGGGGGAGTGTCCCTGGAAAAAGGGGGACCTGGCCTGGCTTCATTGCCCACAGGTGCGGCCAGGTACATCTCCTAAATTACATCGACCTTGGCAGGGTCCGGTCCGCCTCATTGAGGTTCCCAACCCACAGTCGGCGCGTGTTCAGGTTGGTGCACGGCGTTGGTTCGTGCACACGTCCCGGTTGAAGCCATACATTGCCCCACGGCCGGATGCGTCATCTCCCGAAGTTGCCTTGCCGGGGTCTGTTGCTGCCGACTCGACCTTGCCTGTGTCTGCTGACCTTGCGAGAGCGCCTGTCGTACCCTTCACAGACAATCCGGCCGTGACAGCGCAGGGAGGAGGACCTTCCGCTTGTGGGACGCCGACCGGAGCCGCAGAACCCACGGGACCTGCAGCTCTTCCTATCCCTCCGCGGACGCGAGTACGGGATGTTTCTGGACGCGAGCGGGACAGTGGCGGGCCTCCAATGGCGACGGAAGAACTTGCGCCCGTCGCCCCTAAAACCCTTCCACGTTCCCGCTCGGCGGGTGGGCCGCCGACCGTCCGGGACGGCCCGGCTACCCGTACTCGCTCGAAATCCCTCACGTTTCGTTAGATTGTGTTGTGTTATTGTTATAATGTTCTTCAATGCTTCGTGTCTTTTTGCGTGTTGGCCCTTTACACCCGCATTGCTTTTCAGGTTGCAATTCAGCCGAGGTCGGCTGGATTTTCTTTAGGGGGGAGGGTGATGTAATGCGGTTGTAAACGGCCCTTCTGAGGCGCCGTCAGGGGGGGAGGAGTTAGGTCACGTGGGGGGCAGAGGGGTTGAGTATAGAAGGAGGGGAACCGGAAGAGCAAGGGGAGTGACGGGGAACCAGGAACAGAGGAAGGCCACGAAGGGCGAAGCGGGGTGTGGCGAGATCGCCACGAACACGGGGGGAGCGAGGATCGGCACCGTTGGCCAGCGGTGACCGACCCGAAGCAGCGAGGAGGCTGCAGTCAGCAGCGGGGCTGCACAGAGAGGGTGGGCAGCGGGTCTGCATACAGTGACAGCCAGAGGGTCTGCACATAGGGGTAGCAGCGGGAGTCTGCATAGGGGTAGCAGCGAGTCTGCAGGGAGGAGGTTACAGTAGATGAAGCAGAGAGTCAGAGGGGAGAGGAAGCTATAATAGCAGTGAATAGCCGGGGGCTACAAATACAGGAGTTATAACAGAGTGCCGTGTGGGTAAAGACGTGAACCTGAATAAAGACACGAAGACAGAGAGAAGTGTTCGAGTCCTTTTTATTACACATGGTTGACCAATAGGGAGCCATCTCTCGACCGCACCCGGGTATCGATCAAGCTCCCATGGTATCTGTCCCAGATGGAGATTCCTCTGGTACAGCCATGTAAGGATTGTGAGCAGTCAGAACCCAGAGACCATGCCAATTTATATCATAGGTCTTGACCAGGTCAATAAAGCACAGATGAAAGACATTTAGGAATTTCCAACACTTCTGCTGTAGCAGACGGACATAAAATAAGGTGTCTGTGCAGGACTGCCCTGGCCCAAAACACCAATGGGGCTCCACAAACCTCCACTCAGCGTGCCTAGCAAGGCAATGTTGAATAATCCTTGCCAGGACCTTTCCCGGCACACCGAGCAGGGAGATGCCACTGTAGTTGTCTTTTCGGTTCCCTTCTTAAACATGGGGGCCACCAAGGGATCGTTCCATTTGTGCAAAACCTCTCCATTAGTCCAGACTTATATTGTCATATAGGGCAGTCTGCACACAAATGCCACCCTCTCTCAGCATTTCAGACAGCCACTCACAAGGGGTGGCTACTTCTTCCAACATTTAAGACACAGCAGCCTCTGGAGGGTCATACCCACTTTGCCCCATAACGTTTTCTGATGGATTTCTCCTCCCCAAAGATCTCACATAAATGCTTAGCAAACATTCAAGCCTGTTGCTGGGGGTCAGAGATTGGATCAATCTTCTTTCCCCTCAAGATGGTGATAGGTGTGGTTCTGCGAGTAACCTTCTAATGGAATTAAAGAGTGATTTGTGATCGTGGGCTAGGCAAGATGTCATCTCCACAGAAACCTGCGACCACCACTCATCCTTGCAGCTCTCTGAACCTCTGAGCGAAGTCTGAAGTAAGCCTCATTCACCGACGTGAGATGCTGTAGATAGTGGGAGTGGGCCTGTCGCTTTTTCTCAGCCAGCCAGAACATCTCCTTCAGCCAAGGGTCTCTGAGGTTTGGACCGTGTAACCAAAGCAGTCATTGCAGCTGCATGAGCCACAGCCATAAACTTTGCCTATTTCCCTTCAGCGTCAGGAGTGGGAGACGATGTCAACCCCAGCTGCCATCGATGATGAATTTCTTGCGAGCTAAGACAAGGCCACTGGTTTTGAATGGGGTTCCTAGATGTACACCCACCACTGGAGTGGAAGAATGGCAGGTGCATCTTACAGTTGACAAGCCAATGGCCAGTGTGCAGAGGACCTGCCTGGTAGGTCCTGGTGTCAAGAACATGGGCCTGCACCTGCTGTTCCATCACTATATAGTCCAGCAGATGACCGGACGTGCATCCATTATGTTGTGTGGATGATGTGCCGATGCCAGACCGTGGTTGGTAATTACAAGCCCATGGGCTGCACAACCACAACAACCACCAACACAACCACAAAGACAACCACCAACACAACCACCACCTCCACAACACCCACCACTACTACCACCACAATCACAACTACCACCACCTCCACCATACCCACAACCACCACTATCACCTCCCCAACTACCACCACAACCATTACCATCACACCTCTGCTCAGAGACTCACCGAGTCGAATCCTCTTCCTGGTTCAGGGGTCGTCTCGGGACGTCTCTGGTGGCGTTGGGGAGGGAAGTTTCCGATGACGTCACGAACAGGGGGGATGTCTCCTCTATGAACGTCGCGAGCGGGGGAGAAGGCGTATCTGCCGACGTCACGATGGGGGAATGCCATCTGCACAGCCCCTCCCCTTTCTGACGTCACGAGACGACCCCTGAACCAGGAAGTGGAGTTGGGGAGTCGACTCCGGTGGTTGTCTGAGCAAGAGGTGCGGTGGTGATGGTTGTTGTAGTGGTGGTAGATGGTGGTGGTTGTGGTGTTGTTGTGGTGGTGGTAGATGGGGAGATGGTGTTTGTTGTGGTGCTTGTGGTGGTGGTGCTTGTGTTGTTTGTGGTGGTGCTGGTTATGGTGTTGGTTGTCATGTTGGTTGTGGTGGTGTTGGTTGTGGTGCTTGTGGTGGTGGTGCTTGTGGTGGTTGTGTTGTTTATGGTGGTGGTTGTGGTGTTGGTTGTGGTGGTGGTGCTTGTGTTGTTTGTGGTGGTGGTAGTGGTGTTGGTTGTGGTGGTGTTGGTTGCGGTTGTGGTGGCGCTTGTGGGAAGCGATAGTGTAGCGGTTAGCGCGCTGCGCTACGAACCTGGCTACCTGGGTTCGATTCCCGCTCACGGCCAACACCAGTGACGACTATTTGCACCGGTTGTGGTGATGGAGATTATGGTGATGGTGGTGATGGTGGTCGTTGTGGTGGTGGTAGTTGTGGTGGTGATGATGGTAGTGGTTTTGGTGATGGTTGTGGCGGTTCTTTGTCTACTTTCTGTGTCCTTTTTATCCTCAGCCCAGCTTATACCTTTACTGCACCGCGGAGAACGACGCTCAAGACTGAGTCCTTCGCTGCTGCTGTTGTCATTCTGCCCTGGTGCGTCCACATAATCTGTCCTAAGTCGACTAGCGATAGCTGCGGTGTGAGTCCTAGGGTGATGTCAACTCCCTCGCCTGGTATACAGGAATGCGTGGGTTCGATCCCGACCCCCTGACACCTGCTGCTGTATATTTGGAGGTTGCGTCTCTCTCTCTTATCATCATCATGGTGATTAGGAGATGTTAACTATTCGCCTGCTATACAGGAGTTCATGGGTTCGATCCAGACCCCTTGACGCATACTTTGGTATATTTGGAGTTTGCGTGTCTCTCATCATCACAATGGCAAGGAGACGTTCTCGCTACCTCGTCAGATATACTGACACTTGCTGTATATTCTATGGTTCTTTCGGTAAAGTCACGTAGTTAGAAAAAAAAATAAAAAAAAATACAAATGAAAATAAAGTGAATACAAAATTATAAACATATGATGTATCGATCGCAACACAAGTGGTCGTCATCATCTCCCTGTTTCTGATGATGACTGCTTGTGTTGCGATCGAAACCTCGTGATATTTTAATTTATTTTTATTCACTTTATTATCATCTTTATTTTTATTTCTTTATTTATAATTTTTTCTATCTACGTGACTTTACCGAAATAACCATAGAATATACAGAATATGAATTCCTGCAGTCACGAAAGTTTTAAGTCAAAATTTAACCTGTATATTTTGATTTTGCATGTCTCTCCCATCATCACGGTGGCTATGTGATGTTAACTACCTCGCATGTTATACAGTAAGTCGTGGGTTCGAGCCCGACCCTGATGCCTGCTGTATATTTAGAGTATGTATTGTGTGTGTATTAGTTTGTGTAATGTGTATGTAGTGTATATTATGTGTGTGTAATATATATGTACATTGTGGGCCCTGTGTGAGTGTAATGTGGATGTACAGTGAATATTGTTTGTGTAATGTATATCTACAGTAAATACTGTGAGTGTAATGTCTATCCTTCAGTGTATATTGTGTGAGTGTGTAATGTACATGTACAGTGTATACTGTGTGTAATGTGTGTACAGTGTATACTGCTGTGTGTATTTACAGTATATACTCTGTGTGTAATGTGTATGTGCAGTGTATACTGTGGTGTGAGTAATTTGTGTGTACACTACGTGTATTGTGTGTGTATATACTGTGTGTGATGTGTGTATGTACATTGTATATTGAGCGTTACTCATTGGTTCTTTCAGTAAAGTCACGTAGAAAAAAATAATAATTGAATACGATGTTTCGATTGCAACACAAGCAATTGTCATTAGGTAAGATTGAATGAGAAAACAAACCTAGTAAACTTAGATATAGAATGTAATGCAACACAGAGTCAGCTAACATAACAGTCAACACCCTACCTGGTTGATTACGTTCTTCCAAAGATTGCTAAATTTGAGAGAGACAAAACACAGACACGGAGACACATAGACAGACACACAAGCAGAGAGAGACTCACACAGAGACAAACAGAGAGAGACACACATAGGCACACATAGGCACACAGAAACAACGCCTATGTGTCGAGGCCTTAAATAGAAAGGGGGGGGGGGGGGTAGAGAACAATGAGAGAGTTGTGTGGAATTCCTTCCCATAGCGGACGGACGAGCTAGACACTGGACTTCTAAACAACCAAGCCCATAGTGGACGGATGAGCTAGAGACTGGACTTCTAAACAAACAAGCACGGAGAAAGCTAATTTAGTAAAATTAGGAAGTGTAATGCAATGCAACACAGAGAGTCAGTTAACACACAGTTAACGCATTGCCTGGTTGATTACGTTCTTTCAAAGATTGCTAAATTAGAAGTTAAGTGTGAAACAAACAAGAACGGCAAATCCTCCCCGTAGAGGTGGTTAAAACTAGATTAGCTTTCGTGACTGCAGAAATTATTCTTTGGTTAGCCGACTGTGTTGTATTGCATTATATTTCTAAGTTTACTAGGTTTGTTTTCTCATTTATTCGTACCTGATGATGATTGCTTGTGTTGCAATCGAAACGTATTCTATTATTTAACTAAATTTCTTTCTACGTGACTTTACCGAAAGAACCAAAGAGCAATTCATGCAGTCACGAAAGCTTCGAATCTAGTTTTATATTGAGTCTGTAATGCGTATGTGTGTCACGCACACACGTGCGTGCGTGTAAATGTACACCCAGCAGAATCAACGACATGCAGCAGACGCCCAACACGCAGCCAACCGTCGCCAGAAGCCACAAATATGAGGAGCAGCAGCAGCAGCAGCCACGTGACCCTGACACCAATAACCAGCCTGAGAACCCCAATCCGCACTCCAAACCCCGGCCCGTTGCTGCCACCATCACTGCCAAGAAGAAGAAGACCTTCCAGTGCCCCGCGTGTGCGAAGGCGTTCAAGCAGTCGTCGCACCTCCAGATCCACCTGAGGTCCCATACGGGCGAGAAGCCCTTCGTGTGTGCCGCATGCGACCGGCCGTTCCGGCAGCTCGCCCACCTCCAGATGCACCTCAGGACGCACACGGACGAGAGGCCGTTCGCATGCTCCCTATGCAGCAGGGCGTTCAAGCAGTCGGCGTCCCTCGGCGTCCACCTGAGGACGCACACCGGTGAGAGGCCGTTCGCGTGCGGTGTCTGCGGGAAGGCGTTCGCTGAGTCGGCGCACTTCCGCAAGCACCTGAGAACGCACACGGGCGAAAGGCCGTTCGTCTGCACCGCGTGCGGCCGGGCGTTTGGAGAGCGTTCGTATCTGCACAACCACCAGCGGACGCACACGGGCGAGAGGCCGTTCGCGTGTGGCATCTGTGGGAAGGCTTTTGCGCGCTCTGAGGCCCGCAGGAGGCACGAGAAGATCCACAGGGCGGCGGAGATAGAGCTGGAGACGGCGGCAGTGGCGATGGAGATGAACAAGGCGACGGTGATGGAGACGGAGAAGGCGACGGCGATGGAGACGAAGAAGGCAGTGATGATGGAGACGAAGGCAGCGATGGAGACGAAGAAGAAGGCGGTGGAGACGAAGAAGAAGGCGGTGGAGACAAAGAAGACGATGACGAAGGTGGTGGTGATGGAGATGAACAAGGCGGCAGTGATGGGGACGAAGAAGGCGGCAGTGATGGAGATGAAGAAGGCGGCGGTGATGGGGACGAAAAAGGCGGCGGTGATGGGGATGAAGAAGCCGGCAGTGATGGAGATGAAGAAGGCGCCGGTGATGGGGACGAAGAAGGCAGCGGTGATGGAGACGAAGAAGGCGGCGGTGATGAAGATGAAGGTGGTGGAGGAGTTGAGACAGGAAAGCCAAGTCGCCGCTTCGAGCCAGCCTGGTGCACGGCGAGAGCCGGAGAACCACGGCACCGTCTGTTTGGCGACGTGGCCGACGGTGAAGGTGGAACGCATAGAGGTGGACATGGAATGTGGCGGCGGTGGCAATGAAGAGGCTGAAGAAGAAGAGGTCAAAAAGGTGGCAAATTTGAAAAATGAAGGAGTGACGGTGAAGTGCGAGGGGGAGATGTGAAAGACGACGAAGATTTGGGGGGGGGGGGGCGTTACCTCCTGCTGGACTTTACCTCGGGGTAGAGGTGTGTGCGGTGGTGTTTGGAGTGTAATGCATGGTGGAAGTGGTGATGATGGAGGTGGTGGAGGTGCTGATAATGGAGGTTGTGGTGATCGTGGCGGTGGTGTACAGTGCAGTGCAAACTCGTAGGTCTGCTTGAGAAGCCACAAGCTTGTGCAGCAGTGCTAAGCTGTGTGTTTACAGCAGTGCTTAGCTGTGTTTGCAGCAGGTTGTGTAGCTGTGCGTGCAGCAGGGCGTAGCTGTGTGTGTGTTCAGCAGTGCTTAGCTGTATGTGCAGCAGTGTCGCTTTTATGTGAAGCAGTACGTACGTGGTTGTGTGTGTGGACCTGTGTGTTTTATCAGTGTTGGGCCAAGTGCTCTTAGTAGCGAGTAGTAGCAGCACCTATGAAGGCCGGCACTGGCACACGCAGAGGGTGGGTAGCCAGCACCATGTTCGGCTGCCTGTCTCCCGAGTGGCGATGTTTACTTATACACCACCGCAACCAGGTACTCATTTGAGGCTGAGTCGACCTAGGGGAGGCCCAGGACAGGTACAGAAAATCGTCACTGGTTGTTGGTGGCCATGAGCGGGAATCGAACTCGGGTCATAGCTGGGTTCGTAGCATAGCAGTGCAGAGCTAACTGCTATTCCACTGCTCCCCACAGTCTGGTCAGGCTATACGGGGTATCTTTGTCTTTGTAGCAGTGTGTACATATCTTGAAACTACTCTAGCACGTGCGTAGCCAGTCGTACTAATCGGTAGGCACTAGCGGTGTGTTCTATTAGCTGTTCTGGGTGCTCACTGCTGCTGCTGTGCTCAAGTGTTCACCAGTGGTGTCAAATGTTCACTTTTGTCGGTGTTTGTGGATGAGGACAGGTTTGCATAGGGGCTGTGTGTGTGCATGTGGGAATACTCCATGGTGGGGAGCGGCAATAGTGTTGTAGCGCTGAGCACTACTATACGAACCCAGCAAGAGACCCGAGTTCAGTTATCGCTCACGGCCACCAACACCATTGATAGTCGTCTGAACCGGTTCTAGGACTCCCTCTAGGGTCGACTCAGCCTCAAATAAGTATCCGGTGCGGTGGTGTGCAGTAAACATCTCCACTGGAGAGACAAAGGTGGCCGAGTGTGGCACTGGCCACCCACTCGTCTGTATGTGCCACAGTACCGGCCTTCATTGGTGCTGCTAGCTAACAGAACTTGCCCCAACAGTCTGTTATGGGCTATATGGGGGGGATCTTTGTGTGTTTGATTTAGTGATGGGTGAGTAACTGATAATACCTTTGGAATGCTTTAACGTTGTCAGTTGGTCCAGTCGGCCAGGACAGATGATGTGTAGACAGAGTAGAACACAATAACCGCCACAATAACAACCACCACCAAAACCACTACGATAACCACCGTCACAACAACCACCACAAGAGCTACCAACACAACCACCACCGCAACAACAACCACTCCAACAACCACAACAACCACCACAACCATACTTCCACCTGGCCAATGGGATCGAGTTGAGTGCTATTCTGAGTATGCAAATAGATTTACACGCAGTAGGGACGAGTGTGGACTAGTAGGGATTAGTATGGACGAGTATGAAGTAGTAGGGATTAGTGGGACCAGTAGGGAATAGTATGGACTAATATGGACTACGCGTGTATGTGGATTTTATTTTTTTCTGGGGGTGTGGCTATGCCTATTTACACACATAAACACTCACAACATACACACATCACACTGCAATTGCACACACATCACATTCACAAGGTACACACATCACACTCAAAGTATACAAACATACTCAGTGTACAAACCTCACACAACATACACCCATCACACTCCATATACACCCATCACACAGTGTATGCACATCACACTCACAACATACAGCACACTCACAGCGTACACATCACAGTTACTGTCCATAATCAAACTCACAGTGTACACACACACTCAACGTACATTACGCTCGCAACATACACAATTACAACGTATTCGCATCATACACACAACATACACATCACACAGTATATACACAATGCACACATCACAAACACAATGTACACACATCACACACACACACAACGTACACACATCACACACACAACGTACACACATCACACACAACGTACACACATCACATTCAAAACATACACATCATATTCACAGCGTACAGACATTACACTAAACGTATACCACACACAACGTACACACATCACACTGTACACACATCACAGCGTACACACATTACAATCACCACGTACACACATCACACACAACGATCACACACACAACATACATACATTATACTCACAAACTCCCCTTAACTTGGTGAAGAGCTAAAAAATAAAATCGGTCAAACCTCTTCAAATCCATCTGAGCATCACCGCCTGTTTTTTGCTCCCCAGTAGCTGCTGCCCATTTATGTCGCGATAATGAGGGAAATAAGTATTTGATCCCCTGCTGATTTTGTACGTTTGTCCACTGACAAAGAAATGATCAGTCTATAATTTTTATGTTAGGTTTATTTGAACAGTGAGAGACAGAATAACAATAAAAAAAAATCCAGAAGAACGCATGTCAAAAATGTTATAAATTGATTTGCATTTTAATGAGGGAAATAAGTATTTGACCCCTCTGCAAAACATGACTTAGTACTTGGTGGCAATACTCTTGTTGGCAATCACAGAGGTCAGACGTTTCTTGTAGTTGGCCACCAGATTTGCACACATCTCAGGAGGGATTTCGTCCCACTCCTCTTTGCAGATCTCCAAGTCATTAAGGTTTCGAGGCTGACGGTTTGAACCTTCAGCTCCCACAGATTTTCTATGGGATTAAGGTCTGGAGACTGGCTAGGCCACTCCAGGACCTTAATGTGCTTCTTCTTGAGCCACTCCATTGTTGCCTTGGCCGTGTGTTTTGGGTCATTGTCATGCTGGAATACCCAACCACGACCCATTTTCAATGCCCTGGCTGAGGGAAGGAGGTTCTCACCCAAGATTTGACGGTACATGGCCCCGTCCATCGTCCCTTTGATGCGGTGAAGTTGTCCTGTCCCCTTAGCAGAAAAACACCCCCAACGCATAATGTTTCCACCTCCATGTTTGACGGTGGGGGATGGTGTTCTTGGGGTCATAGGCAGCATTCCTCCTCCAAACACGGCGAGTTGAGTTGATGCCAAAGAGCTCCATTTTGGTCTCATCTGACCACAACACTTTCACCCAGTTGTCCTCTGAATCATTCAGATGTTCATTGGCAAACTTCAGACGGGCATGTATATGTGCTTTCTTGAGCAGGGGGACCTTGCGGGTGCTGCAGGATTTCAGTCCTTCACGGTTTTCTTGATGACTATGGTCCCAGCTGCCTTGAGATCATTGACAAGATCCTCCCGTGTAGTTCTGGACTGATCCCTCACCGTTCTCATGATCATTGCAACTCCACGAGGTAAGATTTTGCATGGAGCCCCAGGCCGAGGGAGATTGACAGTTCTTTTGTGTTTCTTCCATTTGTGAATAATCACACCAACTTACCTTCTCACCAAGTTGCTTGGCGATGGTCTTGTAGCCCATTCCAGCCTTGTGTAGGCCTACAATCTTGTCCCTGACATCCTTGGAGAGCTCTTTGGTCTTGGCCATGGTGGAGAGTTTTGAATCTGATTGATTGATTTCTTCTGTGACCAGGTGTCTTTTATACAGGTAACAAGCTGAGATTAGTAGCACTCCCTTTAAGAGTGTGCTCCTAATCTCAGCTCGTTACCTGTGTAATAAAGGACTTCGTCACGCACTGCTTGGTCTCCATTGCTCTTTATTCAGCTTCTCCCTCGCACCCCGCTGGTCCCGACAGCGGACCAGATGCTCCTCGCGCGCGCCCCGCACGCGCTCCCTCGTCAGTCCTTCCGCTCCTCCACTCCGCACACCGCTGGCCGATGGTGTGCCGAAGCCCCATTCAGCCACGTGGCTGATGGTGCGGATTCCCTCCGGCCACCCAACGTGGTCCCGCTTCGTGACTACCAACCCGGAGCCCTTCTGGGCTCCCACCTATATCCCCTTCACCACGTGACCCTGTCTCCTCCCTCTCACCACGCCATTCCGAACCTACCAGATCCGGCCTCCTCATAGTGCCCTGCTGGCTCCGCCCCTAGGCTCCGCCCCCACCCACCTCGCTTCTGATTGGACCCGAGGTGAACGGCGGGCCTTCCCATACTGGGCTCCGCCCCCCAATACCTCGAGCCGTATGATTGGCCCAGAGCCCAGCAGCGAACCCCGTTTACACTCGCATTACACCTCTATAAAAGACACCTGGGAGCCAGAAATCTTTCTGATTGAGAGGGGATCAAATACTTATTTCCCTCATTAAAATGCAAATCAATTTATACCATTTTTGACATGCGTTTTTCTGGATTTCTTGTTATTCTGTCTCTCACTGTTCAAATAAACTTACCATTAAAATTATAGGCTGATCATTTCTTTGTCAGTGGGCAAACGTACACAATCAGCAGGGGATCAAATACTTGTTTCCCTCACTGTAACACCCCTCCTTGCTGTGTGATCATACTTCGCCGAATCGTGGAATACCTTTTTTTGCCAGTTTCAAAGTATGGAAAGTAAGAATAGGTTTTGCCCTTTCTGGCAATACAACAGGTGGTGTTAAGATGTTCAACCACAAAATAGATACCTTTTGCAAGGAATCAAGTCTAAATTAATCATTCGTACTTGTGAACATGCAAAAAAACATGCTCTGATATAAGCATTGTCTTTAAAACGGATTGTCTTAAACCAGACAGCCTTCTTTTTGGCCTAGTCTTACGAGTGTCAGACCAAAGAACAACCCCAAAAGGCGAAGAGTACCAAGACATTGCATGTGTAAACGAGATCTGACGAGGTGTAGAAGAAGATAAAGGTGTAAGACCTTTATTTAACAGTTAACGAGGCTTCCAATAAAACAACGGAGTTACATTGTCTTGGTCTTTGTCCCAGGCAAACACGTCTATTGCCAGTGAGGCTCCCCTTTTATATCTCCCTCGCGGTCCTAATTCTAAACCACCTTTGTTCTCTTGCTACAGTACCCTAATTAATTATCACTTCACCACCTGTTTCCCTTCCTCTCCGGATGTTAGACATCCTGCCATCTGTTCTCTTTCTAATTTTTCTCAGCAGCTGTTTTTTCTTTCTATAAAACATCCCAGCTATAACAATTACTGCAATAGTAGGGGACTTTTACTGCATTGACAAGTGCTTTTCAGACAATCTTGGCCTTACGTAAGAAATTAATAAGCCTATGGGCTATGGGAATGCACAAGATAGAAGAATGCTTTCTCCCCTGACTGCCATCTCACCCTGAGGCACGGGTATTACGAGGGATACCATGTGGTCACAATCATCTCCTAGGGGCATTGGAGGGGACCTCAGGACCCCAGTTGCTTCCTGTGGCCCTCCCGGGGGCCTTGGAGGACCAAGCAACCTCCTCTGTCCATCCAAGAAGGGCGCGGGGGCTCCAGCAGCCTCCTGCGGCTCTCCAGGCGGGCCACACCGGCACCAGTGGTCTGCTGGGGCCTTCAAGGGGGGCCGCACTGGCCCCAATAGCCTCCTGTGGTGCTCCAGGGGGATTGTGGGGCCTCAGCGATGCCCTGCAGCCCTCCATGGGGGCTGCGGGGGTGCCAGTGGCCTGCTGCCATGCAGGGGGTCCGCAGCGGCCCTAGCGGCCTCAGTGGCCTCTTGCGGCCCTTTTGGGGGGTGTGCGGGACCCAGCTGGCTCCTACGGTCTTTCAGGGGGGCCAAGGCAGACTCGAGGGGCCGAGGCAGGCTGAGGGGCTGAGGCAGGCCCAGGGTCCGAGGCAGGCCCAGCGGCCTCCTGCGTCCTGTCAGGGGGTGGCAACTTAGACCCCAGCGGCCTCCTGAGGCTCTCCAGGGGAACCACAGACATTGTCCCTCCTGTGGCATTCTAGATGCCTACTACGGCCCTCCAAGGGGAACGGGCGAACTTAGTGGCCTCCTGCGCCCCTCTAGGCAGGCTGCAGGGGAAATGGCATCCTTTTGGGGCTTTAGAGGAGGGCCATTGCAGCTCCAGTGTCCTGCTGCGGCCCTCCTTGGATCCCACGGGGGCTGCGAACATTCTTCAAGGGGACCACACAGACCCCAGCGGCCCTCCAAAGGGGCCTCGGGGGACCCAGCGGTCTCCTGTGGCATGCCAGGGCGGCCGCATGGGCCTCAGCATCCTCATACTGGTGGTTTCGAGGTGTGGGCACTGTCCCCATCAGCGGCCTGTACCGCTCACTCGGGTAGGCCAGCGCCCTGGTGGCCTCCCCCTGTGGCCTCTTCCAGGGGATTGTGTGGACCCAGTAGCTTCCTGAAGCAGTCCAGGGGGGGCACAGGGGTCCAGTGACCTCCTTCGGCCCTCCAGGGAGGCTGCAGGGATCCCTGAGGCCTCCTGTGACCTTCAAAGTGAGACGAAAGGTCCCCAATGGCCTCCTCGATGAATGGAGGGTGGCTTGAAGGGCCCTGGGAGCCCTCTAGGCATGCAAACACTGTCAGTAGCACTCCAGTGGGTCCACGGCAGCCCTCGCGGCCTCCTGTGGCCCTCCATGGGGGCTGCGGGGGTCCAAGCGGCCTCCTGTGGTGCACCAGAGGGGCCGCGGGGGCTCCATATGCCTACTACGGACCTCCAGGGGAGCCGCAGGGGCTACAGAGGCCTACTACGACCGTCCACAGGTGGTGTGGGATCCCAGTGTCCTCCTGTAGTGCTCCAGGGGTCTTTGGGGGCCCTGTGGCCCTCCAGGTGGATGCAGGGGTCCCATAGGCCTGCTGGGGCCATCGAGAGGGGCCGCATGGGCCTCAATGGCCACCTGCGGCCTTCGGTGGGGGCCGCACAGACCCGAGTGGCCTCCTGTATCCATCAAAGGTAGCTCCGGAAAACACAGAGGCTCACCGGTGGGGCCCCGCTGACCCATCAGCCTCCTCCAGTGCTTCAGGTTGCTGAAGCGGAACCAGTGGCCTCCTGCATCCCTCCAGGTAGGCCGCAGGGTTCCAGCGGCCTCTTGCGACTTTCCAGGGGGCCGTGGTGAAGTCATTGCCCTCCTGCGGTCCTCTGGAAATGACGTGAGGGCTACAATCATCTCCTGGGACCTTTAAGGGGCCGCATGGGCCCCAATGGCCTCCTATGACACTCTAAGGGGACTGCAGGGGCACCAACGGCCTCCTGTGACCCAGTGTGGTGGCCCAAATGGCCTTCTGGGTCCATCAAGGATGGTCAGATGAGCCCCAGTATCCTCCCGTGGCCCTCCAGGTGGGCCACAGCGGTTCTAACAGCCTCCTACGACCCTTTAGGTGGGCTGTAGTGGCCCTAGCAGCCTCCTGCAGCCTTCCGGGGGGGTGGGGGG